ATGTCACATCAACTTTTGCAAATGCATTTTACTATGAAAAAAATGAATTATTGAATGGTTTTCGAGCCGTTATGTTGGGGGGCCTGGCCTCCCAAAAATATTTTGTGAGGGGRCCCGTGCTYCCMGGCGCCCCTGATGTTCATCAGTTTACCTTGATCGCACTGTTGCAATTGATCTTGGAGATGAGTTTAGTGAGCCCCTAAAGAGAGAAAATGCATGATAGTCGTATTTGTCATCATAATTGATTGGTGGGGTCAGTGATGCAAGGAGTAAAGGTATTCTAGTGCTTTGTATTTACCTTCCACTGAATTGTCTTGGAACAGATATGGGAATATCTACACAATACAAAATAAGTGAACATTTAACTTGTATTACTGAGTGAAAAGTCAGTATATTCATTGAATGAAAAGTGAGGCCTTTGCTAGAGATTAATTACCTTGTTGGTTACACAAACAATGATACAGATGTATTAAACATCAGTACTTTCTAATACACATACCAGAGGATGCAGTCATTTCTGTGCTAATGTATCCAGAACTAGCAATCAGAGGCTTAATTCTGAATGAGGAACAATCTAAAACTCTTGAAAGGTCTTTTTTCAGTTCTTCCTCATGATCTGGGACACACTTCTTCATGTTGTCTTCTACTTTTTGATCTAAACAAAATTTATACAAGCTCGAATGTAACGAAAAGAAAAATACAAAATATGAACTATTGCATAAACTTACCCCTTAATACAGTTTTAGAGCTTTTTGCTTTGTTATAGAGACCTACTTTGCTCTGAAAAAATGCAGTGACAAGTTTAAGAAAACAAAAATGAAAAATGAAAAATGAATTTTGGTGCAAGATCTTACGGTTATTCGATGTTTAGTGATGATCGAGCCCTGCTCTGTTGGCTTCTTTTTGGGTGTGTTTTGATTCGTTTTCTGTATAATCAAAAATACATTTCATATAGCTTTTTTGGTAACATTTGTTAGTTTCAATATATTTCTTAAACAATCGTGTCCTTTTCTGGTGAGAAAATATTTGAAAAATTCCATAATAAACTTACTCTTGAATTTTCTTTGTGATGGCTTTTCTTTTGTCGTTTTTTTCTCCTTTCACTTTGTTCCTTTTCTTTCTCTGTATTGCTTTTTCCCAAGTTTTTCCGAAATATTTCTCCAACTTTACATTTCCCAAGCACGCCAAGAAAACCATTGCAAAGTCAAGTTAATTTTCATGTCAAAATCGTCTATCATTCAGAGAAAAAAACGGTGATTTATAATTAAGTTGAATTCATACCTTTTTCAGGATTGTTCCGTGTCCTCATGACCAGTTATGAAAGCCACTTTTATCCAAACTCGGAAACTTTCAGCATCTTGCATTTCAAGTCTATCACGATGTGTTGAATTTCCTTGGGGCACAATTCCCAATGGTTTTTTAGACCTACCCCGCTTCGTATTCCCTAATTAAGATTTCTATTACGATTTTTCCTTTTCATTATTTGCAATCCAGTGTAGCAATGAAAGACAAAAGAAGCAACTAAGAACAAAAAAAATCTCTCGCAAAATCACGATAAATCATCGGCCTCAAGCTTGCGGTCTATTTTCCCGCCACATGTTGAACGCGCGTGATGCACCAAGTTCGTTTTTGGCGCGCTTCAATGGTAGTCACGCAAACATGGTAACGCAACGCCGAAAATGTAGACAAAATTTTGATCAATGTTTAATTTTTTTTTATTCATTGCAAAAACGAAGTTGTGTATAAGATATATACAATAAGGAAAATGTCATATTTCAGTTAAATTACTAATTGAAGGAAAACATCCAAGAAAATATTATAGTTTAGCCCACATTACCCATTTAAGTATACATAATTTTTAAATACACTATTGAAAATATTTTGTTTTGTAGCATACAATGATAATTATTCGCATAAGAAGGCTGCCAGAATGTACCTATAATTGTGTTGCTAATGTTATAATTTTATTTACAATAATATTATAATTTGTTTTTAGAAATACAATGTTAGAAGGTATTTTAGATCATTTAAAACAGATTTCATGTACTGCATTCAGATGAAAATTACAGAAGACAATTTAAATGAAATGACATTCTCTTAAGTGAATCAAATCAAAGAGGTTTATGAACATCTTTTTCAATGTTTTTTTTTTCTTTTTATCTTGTAATCTTATATTACATAGGATGCAAATACCTTGTTGCAATGTATTTAAAAACATCTATTGATATTCATATGTGTATGTTATTATCTCCGTCTTACAATAAACCAAGCAACAAAGAAAACAAATAAACAGAAAAGCATTAAATAGCACATTATTTTATGGTGTCCTTTCTTTGTTAATGCAGTAAGTCTTCCCATTGTTGCTGAGAGGAGTCCTCCACTTGTGTCAAAATCATCATCCTGAATAGATAGAAATTGTAAGGATTAGTCTGTAGACCTGTTTGCCACCCTCCACCTCCCTGATAGAAAATATTGGGAAAATCCTAGGATGAAGGAGGGGTTGGAACAGCTAAGGATTGACTTTWGAGCTTTTTTGTGTTTAGCCTTTTTTATCTTAACTASAATCTTGACGAAATAACTGTGGACARTTTGTTCATTCATACTGACACTCTCAAACTCCCGCTGACATGTTTGATGYTCCWTCCAGCAACATCCATTGACATCAAATAAGGTGGCCAAACTGCAATGTTATCCTTACAGGGGAAGATAAAGACTTTTCAAGAAAGGTGTTTGTTCTGTGGTCCATCTAATCTCATTTAACAGGGATCAGTGTCATCATAATCAACTACATCATTTGGAATCATATTAGATATGGTCGATAAATAACTTACCATGTCATTTAATAATTGATTTTGAGATCTAACTTCATGGCCTATATCGATTGAAAGCTGAAAAAAAATAAAAATAAATGAAAATAAGCTTAAATGAAGCAAATGAAAGATCAAAAGGATCATATAGTGGAATAGTACTATGAACAGAAAACTTACCGATTTTAATGTTTGTACTTTATTTGAGAGATCATTTTCTAGTCTTTCATTTTCATCCTCCAGCATTTGATCACTTCTATGCAGAGAGTTCATTCCGTTGCCAATGTCTAAGCAACAAAAATGTCAAAATGTACAAATAATTTACCGAAGTTACGGCTCAAATTCATTCTCTAGGAATAAGAATTCGTAAAAAATACATATTAAAATATTCGTACTTACTATGTGCTCGTCGCATTCTTTACAATACCCAGGGATAGTWACGATAAGGAAGCGTTTTCTGGTAAACTTTCTTTTGTAAACGTGTAATTTTTGTTTTGGTACTTCTAATGGGAGAAACCGCTGAATTTTCCGAGAGTTGTTCGTTAAGCTTTCGGAGTCTTTCGGAAGTCATAGTTCTGTCTCATGGTAGTCTCGTACAAGTAAGAAATTTGAGCCTTTGATCGAATGACAACGTGTTTGTTGTGAAAATTTAGATACAAAGGATTATGTCAATGCTTACACAAAGACTCTGTCGATTTCTGTGTAGATCAAAAGGTAGGTTAATTCATCGTATTTTTCTCACAGCTGATGACAAATACAATCACTGAGATTTTCAAGAGGTGTTTAAAACTGTGATTGAATTTGTTGTAAATTTGTAGTAAATTTGAGTGTACATTCCATGATATTGTCTTCTCTGTTAATAAATCCCTGATAAAGGGTCAATTTATTAACAAGCGTCCACCCATCTAACAATTTTAATATCCTAGTTTTTTATTAATTCATCCATCCACTCATATAATCCCTCCATCTCTTCATGCTGTTAATCCATGCTCCTTTCCTTCATTTATGTCAATTATTACGTTTATCAACCTGTCTGGAAAAGCTGAAAACCATCTGAAAAGCTTCTGCTTATGTGACAAACATATTTTTCCAGACTTCACATAGAATACAAGACTATCTTGAATTCCAGAACATCTAAATATGTCCTGGTTCTTTTAGCAGTTAACATACAGTACCCATTAAGATATGCAAGTAATAGCTCTGTAGCATTTAAGAAGTTACTGGATGATCAACTGGATGGTATCAAAGAAGCAGGAACATGGAAGACAGAGAGAATCATCACCACAAAACAGGCACCTGMAGTTGGTATAGAAGGCACACATGATGAAATTTTAAATTTCTGTGCAAACAATTACTTGGGCTTATCAGTAAGTTGATCTTGTAGTGTTTTTATCCAATTATATCACTGAATGTTGACTTTGTTTKTAGTCTCATCCAGATGTCATTCAGGCAGGAAAAGATGCTTTAGACACACACGGTAATGGTCTTAGCTCTGTTAGGTTTATTTGTGGAACACAGGTGAGGTTTTTAAAGATCATTCTTCCTTCCATCCWTTCATATATTCTCCCATCCCTCCATTCATTTCTTCATCCATCCTTTCATTTGTCTATCAATTCATTCATCAATCCATCTAGATTCACTTTAAATCAATTTGCATGTTCTTACATAAATTTATCATGTTCTTATAACTCTTTGATAATCTCTGATTTATTTACTAGGATATTCACAAGCAGCTAGAGAGTAAGATTGCCCAATTTCATGGAATGGAGGATGCCATTCTTTACGCATGCTGTTTTGATGCYAATACTGGTTTGTTTGAAACCATATTGACACCTGAAGATGCCGTTTTCAGTGACGCAACCAATCATGCATCTATTATTGATGGCATCAGACTCTGCAAAGCAAAAAARTTTMGATACGAACATGTCGACATGAAGGGCAAGTATTGATTATTATTTTTTTTTATAGTAAAAGGAATAGAAAGAATATTGCAAAAAGGAAAGTAATGTCGAGATGATAAAGTTTACCTTCTTGCAGCTTGAAAATTACCATGTTATTAGGTTGTAACATGAACATGATAGATGATATTTTACTTATCTAAATTATCCTTGATTTAGATCTAGAAGCAAAGCTGCAAGAGGCAGAGGGATCAAGACTAAAGCTGATTGTGACTGATGGAGTATTTAGTATGGATGGCACAGTTGCACCACTAGAGTAAGAATGACCAGAACGTTTTTTGCTCTTTTCCATTATAATCCAATCATTAGATTTCTTTTTCAGTGAGATTTGTGACTTGGCTGATAAATATGGTGCTTTGACATTTATTGATGAATGCCATGCAACTGGATTTTTTGGAAAAACTGGCAGGTTAGAATCATGAYGATATAATGTTCTGCTCCTATTATTTTAATTTATAAAGTGCAAGCAATATGCCTGAGAAATAGTTAACGTTAATTTCTAATACCGGTAAATAGGGAAACAAAAGAATTAGAAGTGTTTTGATTAGAGATAATAGTCATATATTTTTTCATAATATCACAGAGGATCTGATGAATACATGGGTGTGAAAGGTCGTATTGACATCATCAACTCTACTCTTGGAAAAGCCCTTGGGGGTGCTGCAGGTACTCYRTTTACATTTGTAATTTCTTGCCTCATTCTCGCTTCACTGCAGAATCCACTTGTAAATGGTACTATCTATAACAAGCACAAATAATAATTTTTTCCTGTGGTATTTCAAACAATATTTATGATGCTTGTTGCTTTGGTGATTTTTAGGGGGATATACAACAGGGCCAAAGGAGTTGATTCAGCTTCTTCGGCAAAAGTCTCGCCCCTACTTATACTCGAATACACTCCCTCCCTCTGTYGTCGGAAGTGCAAGCAAGGTAACCAACTTCGACATGTCATTCAATTGTTATCACCGCCAGTGTTCATGATAATGTTAAAATTATGACGAACAAYGACACAACTTCATTCACACGTTCACAAYGCTTTTAATCAAACACAAGATAACCGAAGGACCACAGGAAGCCCACATGAAGTACRATGCCCAAATATGGCAACTAATGAATACAGCATAAAATATCATAAATATTTCTAACAGATAATGCATCATCATTGTTTCCACGTCACCATTTAATTGCCATCATGATCAATATGTTGATATCATTATCATCATTGTTATTGTCATAATCTGTAGGTATTTGACCTGTTGATGGCTGGAACACCTCTACTAAACACTATCATGGATAACACTAAACTGTTCAGAACTA